CCATCTGTATATCTTCTTTGGAGAAGTGTCTGTTCATTTCCTCTGCCCATTTTTTGATCGGGTTGTTTGTTTTTTTATTGTTAGTTGTGTGAGTTCTTTATATATTATGGAGATCAACCCCTTGGGGTTATTGACCTTTTTATTATTGAATTGTAAGAGTTATTTATATAATCTAGATACAAATCCCTTATCAAATTTGCAAATATTTTCTCCCATTCTTCAGGTTGTCTTTCACTTTTTTGATAGTGTCCTTTGAAGTATAAGTTTTAAAAATTTTAAGGGAGCCCAATTTATCTATTTTTTCTTTTGTAGCCTGTGTTTTGATGTCATATATAAGAATCTATTGCCAAATCTAAGGTGATGAAGATTTTGTCCTATGTTTTCTTCTAAGAGTTTAATAGTTTTTGCTCTTACTTTTAAGGTTTTGATCCATTTTGAGTTAATTTTTGTCTAGGAGGAATGTGAGAAATACCTACATTTTGTATATGAAGAATACATACATTTTCATATGTGAGGAAAATGTCCAACTTCATTCTTTTACATGTGGCTATCCAGTTGTCCCAGCACTGTTTGTTGAAAACTCTATTCTTTCCCCATTTTACTCTTGATTTTGGCACCCTTGTCTTGGCATTGCTGTTGAAAACCAATCTACCACAGACACATGGGTTTGTTTCTGGACTCTCAGTTTTGTGTCATTGATCTATACATCTATCCTTTTGCCAGCAACACACTGTCTTGGTTACTGTTGCTTTGTAGTAAGTTTTGAAATTGGGAAGTGTGACTCCTCCAATTTTGTTCTTCTTTCTCAAGATTGTTTTGACTACTCTGGGTCCCTTGAATGTCCATATGAATTTTAGGATCATATTGTCAATTTCTGCAAAGAATGGCAGCTGGAATTCTGAGAAATGTTGTGTTGAATCTGTAGATCAATTTGGGGTAGAATTGCCATCATACAATATTAAGTCTTCCTATCCATGAACATGGGATTTCTTTCCTTTTATTTCAATAATTTTTAATGTTCTAGAGGAATGATACAATGCAGATTTGTCACGAGGAAAATAGAAATGATATTTTTTGGTTATGGAATAATATGTGATTTTGATTTTATTTTTAAATATTTCTGTATTTTCCAAATTTTCAACAACAAGAATATCTTTTATATAACCAAAAAGAAGTTATTTTTAAAAGAAAATATTATTTAATTAAATATGCTCACATTCAAAGTATTTCATAAACATGGAATATGCTTGGAAATGGAAATGCTTGAAGGATTTTTCAATATACAGGAATATACTAATGTTTATTCTTGGTCATTTATTCATCAGAATTTACTGACTGAATGCTATGTGGCAAATACTCTGCTAGATCCTGAGTGTACTGTTTTAACAAAACAGACACGATTCCTGCCCTCATGAAGGCTACATCTAGTGGGAGAATGATAATAAATGGGCAAACAAAGTAGTAAACAGAAATGCAATTACAAATTGTAAACAGTGCTTTGGAAGAAAGCCATTGATACTATGATGGAGAATAATGGTAGGCAGAGCTAACCCACTTTGATATAGTGGTCAGGGAAGCTCTCTAGGACACCGACGTTTGAGCTGAGGCTTTGGGACTAGATATAACTGTAAGTGTTGGTTTTAGATATTTGTCAAAATGTTCAAAACAGTTTCTTAGACTGAAGGGTAAAAACAACAAGCTTTAAAATTCCAAAGGGAAATTAATTTCAACAAATAGAGTAACATCATCTCCTACAACATGATAAATAGGATCCAAAAAATTCAGTACCATAAATGTAGGGTTAAGTCATTGTAAAGTTAATGAAATGCACAGGAAGAGCCTGCTGTGGTCCCACTGTGCAGCCCAAATCCTGCCCTGTCCAAGCTGTAGTTTGGTTCCACCTGATGGTAGCTGTCTGCTCCAGCTTAAGTATGCATGAGGATGATTCTGGGTCCCTCTGGCAGGCTGGGAGTTCCTGGGCAGAAGCAGAAATTCCGGGAATCTCCAAATAGCTGATGCCTTTTTTGTCAGCTTGATAAGGAAGGTTGGGCCAAGAGAATATTGAAGAGTCAAAGCCCTATCGTTTACCTCCCTCTTCCTGAGATGGTGTACCCTGACATTTCGCCTCCTGGCCTCAGTCTATTTTCCACTTATCCTTCCTCCAAACATAAGATCTCCAGCCCACTCCTGTTTGAGAATGAGGGCTAGATGAAGGACTAACAGAGTTGAAAGTGGGTTATCATGGGGTTTTATTATATGTTTTGGTTGCTACTTGCCTACCCAATGGCCATTCCCTGCTTTTAGTAAGGGAACTCAGATTTTGTTTAGGAGGCAAGGTGACTAACTGAATTATATACTTCCTTGAACTGTGTTGCAAGTAGGCATGGTAAGGTGATGTAGTTTGACCAATAAGACGTCAATTAAGGAATTTGGGAAAGCTCTGCTTTAATGATATAGCCACCATTCATTTCAGCTTCCTTTTATACCTTCCTCCCTAGAACTTGGAGATGAGGCTGGAAAACAAGCAATCATTTTAAGACTATGAGACAACCACGAGGATGAATGCTTTATGTCAAGAATGGCAACGTAGAAAGATAGAACGAAGCTGGGCATTGCCACCACTGTGGAATGGCTGCCCCAGCCTGGATGGACCACCTCCAGACTTCTAGATGAGAAAGTCAACCCTTATTTGACTGTGGTTTTTCTATTTTATAGTTTATTTTATTCTATTCTATATAGCCAACTGAAATCCTAACAGATACAGCTGCATATCATGAGCATAAACTTATCTTTTGAAGAATCCGAGGTTTTTAAGGTTTTAATGTAGAAAGTCCAACTCATGTTTAATAAAAGAGAAAATTCACAGTACTCCACAACTTATCACCCACTGTAAAGTGGTCAGTAAAGGTCATTAAACAGAGGTAACACAAAGGAGCAGCTTCAGAGAGGGAGTCATTTAATGCCACTTATCTTCATTAATCCCACACCCCACACAATACCAAATAAACATGTATTTCAGGTAAAACTGTGCTTGCTATGTAAACATACTTCTAGAGAAGTTCCTTGGTGCCCCCTTTCAATAACAAGATTGCCATCCTTGAACTCCTCCTATTTGGTAATTTTGTCACAGTATAAAACAACTTCCAGGGTAACTCTGCCTACAGTTAAAGTTATGGCTTAGGGTTCATTACTGCACATATCTTTCAACTTTCATGCAGATATATTAAAGTGATGTGGCTCAAGGAATGATAGAGTTTTTTCCACTTTTGCCCCAGTGGGTTTCTACTCTAATCTGAAATTCCGTTTTACCACTACCCCCTTACACACAATGCCTCATCCTCCAAAACAAAGTTCTCAACTCATGCTTACAAAATTCCTTACTCTTCAGGGTAGATACAGGCACCATTCAAAATAATATGAGCGTTTGTACAGAAAGTGTAGTTCAGATAAAGCAATATATTAATAGATCAGATTAGAGGAAGGAAAGAAGAGAATTCTGCTAGTTTTCTATAGGCACTCTTGCCCATGTGAAATTAAATTCTTTTGCATCCTACTGTGAAGAATGAGATTGTTTTTATTATTGCAAATGAGATAATGGCCTTTCAAATACGAAAAAAACAACAAAAAATCTAAACTATATGATAAAATTTTTTACCCCAGAACCAAAACAGGGAAAGACTTCCAGATAAAAATCTATGTATAGTCAACTAGAGTTATATATTTTTTTCATTTTAGAACAGAATTACCCTATAAAGTTTTCTGATATCTTTGTAATGTTTCCTAATGAAACCTTAGAAAAGTAAAAAAATTCAGCTAAAAATTATCATAATTGAGTCAAGAGTCCCAAATAAATGATTATGTTTCTAATTGTCAAATTCTTACATGTCAAATTACCTGTTTCTGAAATCTTTTAAAAATTTTTTTGGAGAAAATTCTCCACTCGTTTTTTCTCTAAGTAGGCAAGCACAATCAGCAGGAGGCAGCCCTCGATGTTCAGAGATCTTTAGCATCACCAAGACAAAGGCTGAAGAAACGTAATACACAACTTAGGTTGCCTACTTCCTTGAAGGCAATTCAAATTTCGGCGGGCGCGTAAGGTCTTCAGCGCCCTGTGCCAACCTTTCGTAGAAGCATACCGTAAAACATTACGATTGCCTTCTTCACCATCAATGTCTGATAAGGGATAAAAATTTAGGCAGAAGTAATTATTTTGCCAAACCCTGTGGCTTCAAGCCGCAACACCGCCCCTGCAGGGGATCTGGAAGCAAACACCGCGACGGTTATGAGAGGTCGCTCAGGGGTGCCCCGAGACCCCACTGGAGGCTCATCTGGTCAGCGCGCGGAGCCGCGGTGGGGAGTAGGGTCTATATTCCAGACTCACCTATAAATTCCCAGTTTGCGCCAGAGCGCCTCGTTCCCCTCAGGCTAATAGGTTTAAATTAATAATGAGTGGCAAAGCATGCCCATTCTTTGGGCTCCCAGGTTTGGAACGCAGGGGCTGTGGCACACGAAAGTTCTTCACAGCTTGTTTTCATGTCCAACTCTGTCACTGAGAGCGCATCCCTATCCTAGTCCGGCCCCGGGGCTGTCCACCGGGCAGACGGACAGATCGCTGCCCGGTGCAACATCTTGACACCCAGGAGCCCGAAGCTGCAGGGCAGCCCCTCCTACCTGGGGCAAGCGGCCAGAACTCATTTCCCCACAGGCAGGAGTGCTCCGAGACCTGGGGAAGACTCGCATCCTAAAGAGATGTCTCCCAACGCCCAGACAAAGACAGCGCAGGGAAAAGTTGGAACAACTGGCACCACCAGAAGGCGAGCAGATCAGCCCCTCGGCCTCGGTGGCCGAGCCGGCGACGCGCTGTTAGAGTCGCAGCCAACTTTTCCCATAAGCTTCTGAGCAACTTGCTGGAAGTTGGGGCGAGGAGGCAGAGAACGGGTCCAGGGCAGCGCGGAGAGGCTGGTCGCGCCCCAGCCGGTTTCGCGTACCTCCCCGAGTACCTGCTAATGTAACCGTCGCCGTCGCCGTCGCACGTCTGGAAGAGGCGCCGCATCCTCTCCTCCTCGCCGGTGCTGGACGTGTCGCTGCTGCTGCTGCCGCCGCCGCCGCCGCCGCTGCTGCCGCCGCTGGCGCTCCCCGCCGCCGCCGCCATCATGCGCCCGCTCCCTGCTCGGGAGGAGGAGGACGCGCGGCAGGAGGAGGAATCCGCGAGGCGCAAAAGCTCTTCGCAGCCCCGAACCTGCCTGACAACCGAGCATGCCCAGTGGCCGCCGGGGCGCTCCGAGCGAGGGATTCCACCTCTCCGGGTTTTGCCCGGTTTGGGAAGATGGGCGCTCTGCAATCGCAGGAGTAGACACCTTAGGGGAGAGGAAGGAGGGGAAGGTGGCTTGTGGAGTCAGGGAGCCAAGGGTGGCGACGGGGACGCGAGGGGAGTCAGAGTACACAGGAGGCCCCCGAAAAGGGTGTCAGCTCCGTGCATCGGGCCACGACGCAGGCCCCTGACACTTGGGGATGCTTCAGGCAGAGAGCGGGTGTTCTCGTGGCGACGGGGACGAGAGGGGAGTCAGAGTACACAGGAGGCCCCCGAAAAGGGTGTCAGCTCCGTGCATCGGGCCGCGACGCAGGCCCCTGACACTTACGGATGCTTCAGGAAGAGAGCGGGTGTTCTCCCGGCAGAACTCTTCTGACTGCCGGGAGTCGTGGATCCCTTTTTCAGAAAAAAAGATAAACACTCCAGTTTTGCAAACTCAAAGTGGTGCTCGTGGTCCCACTCTGCAGGACTGAGTTCTGCACCCATAGTCCCAAATGAAATCCAGAATGGCTGGCAAATTTATGCATTTTTTAAAATCTGTCAAGAAGTCTGACCCTCCTTAGCTCTGACTGGTCTTCCACTCTATACTGGGAACAATCTGCGCTCCTGTGTAACATTGTGCACGTTTGGTCCGTTTCCGGAAACAGCTCACTCTCCTGACCTGTTATTAAAGCCCCAACAGCTTTAATAACATCAAGAACGAACATAATAGATGGTCTCATTTGATCCACACAAGAAGCCTGAAAGATATCTCTGTTACTATTAACTTAGGATTTAGGAGATGGGTAACTACCTCATAGCATTATCTTGGTTATAAAATAAAACAGTATATAATGCACTTAGGACAATGCCTAGCACCTAGTAAGTGCTCAATAAATATTAGCTGTCACTATCTCCAATTTACAGAATAGAAAACTGAAGCACTGAGACTTGCTTAAGGTTCCAGGCTCAGTAAGTGTTAAGGCAGAGGCAAGCCCAGGCAAGCACTCTAAAACTCCAGAGCAGGAGCCCTTAAACACCACACTATCCTTCCACCATAGCAGAAAGAGAACCACAATGAACCAATTTGTGGTTTAGCAAATGACTCATTATTCTGTCCCAGACTTTCTGCCAGAGGTCTATCAAGTCCTGTGGTGGTTTTAAAAACCTCTGCAGATTCTTGATTCATCAAGAGGTGGAGTCTGTCGCCTCTGCTTAACCCTGAGTGGGCCTTGGCGACTGTTTGGACTCCAGAGGCCAGGTTAGAAAAGAAAATACAGATTCCACCTGGCTCTCTCACTTGGGACACAGACCTTTGAAGTCCAGAACTGACTTGAAAGAACTTTGGCCACCCTGAAGCTGCCATGCTGGAGAGAGCATACAGAGAGACCACGTCAAGACAGAAAGAGATGTCCAAGGAGCCTCAGCTGTTCCAGCCTCCAGACGTTTGAGCCTTCGCAGCCCAGGTGCTAGACAAGTGAATGAGTGAGCCTTCAGATGATGCTTGCCCTAGACGCATGACAGACTCCGAGCAACAACTGCATGAGAGATTCTGAGCAAAAACTGTTTAGCTGAGCCCAGCCAACCCCCAGAAATATGTGGTAATAATAAAAGACCGTTGTTTTTTTAAGCCACTAAGTTTTGAGGTGATTTGTCATGCAGCAATAGATAACTGGAACATGTCTGTATAGCTTGGGACTGTCTGCCAGGTCATAAGGAAGGTGTCTCTGCCCTGTTCTCTCCTCTCTCCACCCTATCCACCCATTCCTACTTTAGACCTCTTTAATTCTGTAAGTTCCCAGTATTTCAGGGTACTTAGAATTGTATGATGAATAGGATGTCGTCTTAGAAAAATTTTGTCAATATATCCAATAATATTTGCTTAAAAATGCTACTAGCAACACAAATATTCCTGGCTACAATAGAACAAGGACCAGTGCCCAAGTTTCTAAACATAAATAAATGTTTAAAAATCTTAATTTTTCATGGAATAAAACTTTTATTGTTGTCTGACAATACAGTCAGATGGGAGTTGTTACCCTCAAATCTTCCTACAGAATTGATGGTTTGTGCAGAAAAAAGAAAGAAAAAAAGCCTTTTTCTAAATACATCACTGTATGGAGAGTATGGAAACCCAAAGGATTTTCCAGGATTTGAGTAGGTCTCTTCATAACCTCGCTTGATGTGTACAGAAAGTGGAGTATAAACTCAACCAATTACATTTCAAAGCAAGGAATGTTTTTCTCCTGAAAGAATATATGCATGACAGCTCTGGAGATTTAAATTTAAACCATCTTGATTAAATCTGAACCCACAAGAAGTGGATCTTGACAAATTCCTAAACAACATTTGCTCATGCTTGGGTAACTCAGAAATGGCAGAACAGATAGGTTCAACCTTTCAGAAAAGAATTTGCTTCTTAGCTGATATGAAGCATATGAAATTACAGCTGAAAATGTTACTAGGGGAAAGAGAAATTTGTGAGACATTGAAAACAGAGATGCCATATGAATATAAAGATGATAAATGTAAAGTAGGAGCTTGGAATGAGAGCAATACCCATGGCCATAAATCTAACAGTTCTGGTTATGTCATAATTTCAAAGGCTTTATGTATTTATCTGAGATGAGTACATAGCTCAACGTCGTCGTCCTTATCCAGTTTTTTTTCTTGTCGGTTCCCTCTTGGTTATAATAACACTTCATATTTATATAGTACATTTCAAAATATGCTGTATACTTTATAAGATATACTGTCTTATATATCTGAAGTTACCAGTTAAAACAAAACAATGGGGCCGGCCCTGTGGCTTGGTGGTTAAGTGCGCGCGCTGCAATGCTGGTGGCCCGGGTTCGGATCCCGGGTGCGCATCGAGGCACCACTTCTCCGTCCATCCTGAGGCCGAGTCCCACATACAGCAACTAGAAGGATGTGCAGCTATGATATACAACTATCTACTGGGGCTTTGGGGGGAAAAAATAAAATAAATAAAATCTTTAAAACAAAACAATGGCAGTGCTGTGCAAACTTGATTACTGAGTGCTTGCCCTTCCAAATTCTGTTTACCTAGACTAGGACTACATGCTGGAGTTGGAATAAGGACCCCTTTGGTAACCTCTGCCCACCTTTCTCTCTCTAGGGCTCTCTCTGAACCCAGCTAAGTTCCCATATCGTGCAGGAGGACTTCCTTCACCTCCCAGGTGACAGTGATCACCCAGAGCTCTCCTAGCTTGAAGCACACGTTTTGAGAGCAGAATCATATAGTTTAATGGTGATTTGCTTCCCGTACCCACCAATTATTTATTATTAAATGAGGTTGTAAACTGAGAGAACAGTGAGGTGGAGTTGAGGGAGCTCGACTAACTTTTATTCAGCCCTTATCACAAACCAGTAAATAATCAGATCATTAATCAGATTTAAATGTTTAGAGCCAGCCCTGATGGCTAGTGGTTAAAGTTCAGTGCTCTCACCGCTTTGGTGGCCCAGGTTCAGTTCCCAGTCGTGGAACCACACCACTTATCTGTCAGTTGCCATGCTGTGGTGGCAGCTCACATAGAAGAACTAGAAGGACTTACGACTAGGATATACAACCATGTACTGGGGCTTTGGGGAGGGAAAAAAAGAGGAAGATTGGCAACAAATGTTAGCTCAGGGCAAATCTTTCCCAGCAAAAAAAAGAGAAAGTTTAAATACTTTACCTTACTTAATTCTATCTAGTGAGGGAAGATATTTATCATCCTTATTTATGGGGTGGGGGTTGGCCACATGCCCAAGTAAAGAGCTAGACTCAAACTCCTATCTACCTGTCAGGCCCATGTTCTTCACATTTACTTCATATTGTCTCAACATCAGGGTCAGTGCTATTCATGTTAGGCATTACACTTTTTGAGAAACACTGAAAAGAGGTAACAATGATAAGCTTTATATTTATATATTTGTTTCTTATATATATCTTATATATTTATAACCATAAGAAGTCATCATGAGCTTTTATAATCTGTCCCAGGTTGGTTCTCTGGGAAGCAGGCTCTAAGACAGAGTTTCACGGGCAGGATGCTTACTAGAGAATGCCCTTAGTGCCCAACATGTGTGTGAGGGAGGTGAAGGGAGCAGGACGGGACAGAGGGAGAAGTCACGCTGTGACACAGGCCCCAGAACACCCTTGTTTGACTTCACAGAAGCTGTGGAGCTAAAATGGCCTATATTAATTCCCTGTTACTGTTGTAACAATTCATCACAAACTTAGTGGCTTAAAACAAAACAAATCTATTAACTTACAGTTCTGGAGGTCAGAAATCAAAAATGAGTCTCACTGAGCTAAAATCAAGGTATCAGCAAGACTCTATTGGAGAATCCATTTGCTTGCCTTTTCCAGCTTCTAGAGGCTGTCTGCATTCCTTGACTCTTGGCTCCTCCCTCTATCTTCAAAGCCAGCTGAGTAGCATTTTCAAATCTCTCTAACTTGAACCCCTTATCTGCCTCCCTCTTAACTTTAAAGGACTCCTCTGATTCTACTGGGCCCACCCAGATAATCTAGGATAATCTCTATTTTCAATTCAGCTGATTAGCAAACATAATTTGTTACCTTAATTCATCCTTGCCATGTAACATAACAGATTCATAGGTTCCAAGGATTAAGATGTGGATATCTTTAGGGGGGCCATTATTCTGCCTACTACATTGTCCATCCAATTATCCTGTACTGAAATGAAATGACTGGATTTTTATACCTCTGCTTCAATCAGTCAATGGATGCAGAGCCACATCCCATGGGATCCACAACCCAGAAAGGTTGTGATCTTGGCAAGGTGACTCTCTGTAGCAGAGTTAATTCCTGAGGGACTGACAGCTGAAGGTTGTCTTCTGACAGCACTCTTAGAAGCTGGGCAATGAGTCCTTTCTTGAAGGGAGAATGTGATGGTGTGTCCCATGTTCATCACAGGTCACTTCTTAAGCCATTGGGTCCACTTGTTCATGTGTGTTTGGGGAGCATGTCTTCCAGGATTCTGGTGGGCCTCTTT